AGAGAAATTGTAGATAAGACTTTATCATGAGAAGAGATTAGTAGTATTAGCTTGACAAAGAAATAATCAATAATTTGAAGTTCTAGCTTAGACAGTAAGCTAGAACTAATAATAACCTCCATTATTATTATTATTATTATTATAATAGTCAACCCCGCCTCTCGCCCAAAACATTCGCTGGAGATAGGCACCAGCACCCCTCCCACTAGGGACAAGGGTGCACAGAAAATGGATGAATGATGGATGGGTTATTATAGTCAGAGTTCTGATTACAGACACCAGTGCCAGCTTGAAACAGTCTCAAAGGATGCAGATCAAAGTGGAAAACCATTTGGGCAAACCTACCAGCTTCGCTAACATTGGTTTAACTTTCACACACTTCACCTTGCGTAACAGATCCACGCAGCAGGAGATAAAAGGTACAGGTGGTGACATTTGGCATCACAAAGCCAGATACTTCCACTGAGAGGACAGATGGGTTACTTCTTGTACTTCTCCGCTGAGACATGGACTCTGCTGGTTGCCTTTGTCACGCTCCTCCTTGTGTGAGTGTTAATGAATGAGTATTGATCTATTTAGTTACTTGAATCTGAAACTGACATTTGTTCTATTCTCTTCTGCTCAGAATTTACTGCTTTTGTTTTTACTTCACACATAATTTTTCAGGCTTATTTATCCACAGGTACGCCTACTGGCCTTATGGAACTTTCAAGAAATTAGGTATCTCTGGTCCTAAACCTGTCCCATTCTTTGGAACAATGCTGCATTATCGAAGGGTATGTATAACACTTTTTAAACCGCACCTGTAGTATAAAAAGTAGATCATGTTAACATTTTAATCAAAGATATTAGATTTCTTGGATCTTCTTAAGATGTCTATGCAGCCTTTGTTATTTTTACTTTATTTCTTTATTTTTTGAAAATCTAAAAGGATAAATGCTGATTTAAATGTACAAGATTTCTACACTTTGTGAACCTCTAAACATTCTCAACTACATGTCCTTATTGCTCATTACTGTTTCACGCTTGGGTAAAATGCTGTATTTGTATTGGCAGTAATGAGAGTATGAACCTGTTCTACAATCATTGTCCAATTACTTTTTATGGGTAATAAAGGAGAGTCATTTCCCTTATTTAGCCAAAGAAAACAAGTTGAAAGTTGTTCAACCTACATGTCCTGTCCTAATAAAGAAAAAACAAACACTTTAAAAACTCAGACATTAATCTGCTTGATGTGATCCAAATTTATCCCCAACAATCCTAACAAAACGTTTTTGCTGCATTTAGACACCCTGTAATCCTTTTTGTTTAAAGCTTAACTTTCGTCTCAATAAAATGTGTTAACATTTTAAGACGAAAGCTAAGCTGTTTCTAGTTTCTCTTTGCAACTAAGAGATGAGTGTCTTGATTGTACTGTAGAGCAGCACCTGACCTGCAACAGCTGCTTGAGAGCTGATGTAAAAACAATCTACAAGTTATGGTGATCAGATTTCACCATAACTTCTACTTTGACTCAAAATTCAGTGTATAAACTATTTTAGTGTCAAACCTAAATTAAAATATAGCAGATCCTGTTAGTTGATCTGTGTAACAGAAGTCTGGTTCTGGTTCAGATTTTCAGGAATATCATCTGTTTCCACCAAATCCAATGATGAATCTTGACTACAGGCACATATTGAAAAGAGTAGAAAGATAAAATTATTTTTTCAACACTTTTTTAAAGTGGTATGATCACAGAGTATTAACACATTTTACTCTCACACAGATTACTTGAATTCGATTTTATTTTGCATTTTATCTATTTATCGAAGTTTTTTTACACAACAGATTCTAAGATTATTGTCAACTGAATGACAGTTTAAATAAATGACACTAAATAAAATATATTTAAAAAACATGTTGACCCAAGAGAAAAGAGAAATTCAGAAAAAAGAACATTAGTGAAGTTTCCTTCACTAATGTTCCTAATATCCTAATGTTCCAGTGTGAATGCAAGGAGTTTAGTTATTTTATATATATATATATATATATATAGCCTATATATATTTTTTTTAGCCTATATATATATATATATATATATATATATATATATATATATATATATATATTTTTTTTTTTTTGTTGGCAGGTCAGCTGGCAATAGTGCTGTAGAGTTCAACATTGAAAAAGCCAATGAACTCAAACAGTTTTTTTAATCGATCTGACACTGCAGATCGATTAAAATCTGCAGTGTTTCTGCAGTGTCAGATACAGTGGTATTGACAGCAATACCACTGTTGCTGTCAACTCACTCTTCCCTATCAACTCAAAAGTCTTTCATCTCACTTTC